GGTGGAAAGTGAGAAATGTTTGAAATGGATTGATCTTGTACACCAGCTCTTTCTGAGAACTGTAGAGCCAATGTCAAGAGGTAGCAGAAACTACGGAGGACATGATCTGAAATGTGCATGGGACACCTGGGTGCAAAGGCCTTTACCACAGAAAGGAAAGATAGGCAGAGCAATACAACGATGAATAAACAAAACAGCCTGAACAGGACAAAGATCATTCCCTTCACAGAGTATTTACTTCTGCTCTGAATGCTTTCCTCCAGTTATGTTTCCTGCCCCTTTGCAGATGAGAGCTCTCAGGCCACGTTCTCATTCTAGTCTCTCTCCATCTGGTCACAAGAGCAAGCACCTCCATCCAACTGTGACTGACTCATTGGGTAGACTGAGGTAAGGACTGTTTCCCATTCATGGCCCTTTTTTTTTAATATTATGCTCAGCAAAAACAACACTGAAAGCAACTTCCTCAAGTGAAACAGAGATCTGAGGAAACCTGCGTAAGGAGAGGCTAAATTTGAAAGAAAATGAAGCGTTGCCAAGTCTTATGGTTATATATTGCAAGTCTTATGATATTATGGTTTTTTTTTTAATCATTGGCTTCTAAAAGCAAGAAAGAGTATGAAAATCTCAGTATGAGAACATTGGAGAAATCTTGAAAAAATAGAAAGAAGGGACTGCTGAAAGTTCAGCAAAGAGAAGGATCCCCCGAAAAGCTCCACAAAGCTTTAAATTCTTCTGCTTTTTAAAAGCAATCTATGATATAGAGAAGCCTACTACCACTTCTGAGCACTGGGGATACACCGTGTGAGATTGTGTACTTGAGAAGGACTGAATAGTGGGTTTTTAGAAAAATTTGTCATAAGAGAGAAGCTCTGTGGGCTGAAACTGTGATCTAATGCTGCCGGTTGTGCCTTTACTGACAGCAGCAGCAGAAGTCTCAAGATCAAAAAAACAACCTAAAAAATGAGCTGTCCTCTAAATCTAACAGATTAGTCCTTTAGGGATGCCTAGGGAGGTTGTCGTGTGTCCAAATACTCCTCTGCCAATGCACCTTCAAGGCTTGCTTTCTATCAGCTCTGGGAATGTCAGCCTGAAAAGAAACAGTAAAATTTGTCTCCAATTTTATACTGGTATAGAAAAAATGAAAACTCAGCCTCAGTTTCCCTAGGCAACACCATGAAATGGGTCATTAAAACACTGTTATAATGTCACTGTATGGTGACACTTTAAAAAATCAAAAGATCCAAAGATGCCATTGGGAACTGTTTTCCAATGAAACTAAATTTTTGCCCAGTACAGCATCTTCTGGCAAACTCCCAGAGGAGCCCTGCCCCCCAGGGATGTGGGACACTTCCCTTGATAACCCATCCTTTGGGCATTCGGTTTCCACTCCAAATTTTCTCCCCGTTCCTGAGCAGTTCCCAAATCAAAGTGGGATTCCCCTAACCAGTGGGTCATACCGGACAGCTTTCTTATGCAGCCTGGGGCTTCACCAAGAACATGCTACCTTGCTAGCAAACACTGGGGCCAAAGTCAGTGTACACAGCACCAAGCAAAAAGGGTGGCAGGGGTGGGGGTAGGGGGGTGAAAGAAACTCTGCTACTAAGCGAGGTTCAGGCCAGGTGAAGGCAGAGGATATTTGCAAAACACGTGTCAGGCGAGCAGAAAAAAAGCTGAAGTTATAAGCTGTTTTAAAAGTTCCAAACACCAGCCCCCCCCTTCCAAGAGAAAAACAAGAGATACCAAAGACTCAAAATCTCACAAGCGAGTAATTTAGAAAGCTCTATTTTTGAATATGGCTGTGTTTCAACTCAGACTCTCAACCAACTGTGGAGGTCTCCACGATGAAAGTATCATGAAACTGAATGAGCACCAAGTCGCCCACAGGGGACCCAGTCCTGCAAGGTGCTGAACTACCCCACACTCCACTTAATAGGATTTGGAAGTGCTTGGAGCCTATTCTGATCAAACAACAGTTGGTGTCCGAGTGAGCAAATCCCCGGAGAAGGGTCTGGAGACGGAGAGCAAATCAGAACAATTGAAAGTGCCACAAGCTTCTGCAGCAGCGGATACTATTGTCAAGGCACCTTTTGTGCTACAGGCTCTCGACGTTTAAATGAGGAAGCGAGAAAAGAGGGAATTTCAAAACAAAGGTTTCTTCGCGGATTGCTGGATTCTCATTGCCTTATTTGCTCCTTGCACATGTCAGATAAGTGGACATGCAAATAACCTTAATTAGTAATGCAGATTACACTTATCCAGAGTACACTGGACACTTTCTCCCCAGCAATACTGCTGGGAATGCACATGGCCAATTCGTTAAGGAACAAACCAATTTTAAAGTTAGCTTCATTTTTAGGCTCTACAGTGTGTGCACTTGCTCTGCCCAGTTCATAAATCCAGCAGCTGTGGAAAATTCCTCATTCTTGAAGAATTTAATGGAAGAAAAGAGCTATTGCATTTGCAGCAGAAAGGCCCACTAAGAGAGATACGCAACTTCTGACACTGATCTTACCTCAGAAGGTAAGGAAGGATCAGATATGATCAATGCTGAACTGGAGAGCTGCAACAGAAAACCACTTTGCTATCACAAACCTGACAAAGGGCTTGTAAACTTGTTCTCTCCCCACCCCCAAATGAGATTCGTTTGTCAAATAAAAGATACTAGCTTTCCCCATACCCCTTGGCTCTCTTGGTTTACTAATGCTCCTTTTGTGGATGGGACTTTTCCCTTGGAGCATAATTATACCCATGCTCGGTGCTATACAAGCAGCGCTACAAGTTGTTGGAAAAAATGCACATTTTAATTCCTACTGACCATTTGAAGATTTATGGGGAAGTTCTGTGACACAGACCCATTGCCTGGTTGGATCTTAACAATGCTTAAAATCATCCACATGTTACTTGAGATATGTGCCCGTTTCCCTGGCTGCTGCTGTGCAATCACTATCAGTCCTGAAGTAAGCAAAATTGAATGTAAATAAGGGATGGAAGTGAGACGTTTCCCTCCCTCACTCACACATCATTATACAGAATAAATATCCCACCAGTGACAGTGAGGCCCATGAACTTCCAGGCAGAATTAGTCCAGCAGAGTCACTACTCCATACCATCACAGGATTCCAGATTTTTTCAGTTTTATGGTAACAGCTCAACTCTAAGATATTTCAAATGGAGAGTAATGCTCACTTTTCTAACCTCTGCTTACCCTGACTTTTAAATGCATGGTATTAAAATATGTACATGGTCATTATTTATGCTATGTCTAAAACCCAGCCATTTAACTCTCTCCCTCAGCGCTCCGTCAAATGAGTTGCACCTTTGCAGCTTCTGCTGGGATTTGATGTTACCTTCTCATGTGCAACGTGGCAGAGTTACAAGGTTAGACCACAACACAGCGGAGAATCCCAGCTTAATCTGAAGACTGAATCTGGGCAAACAGCCCAAACAAAGAAGCTGTAGAAAAGGCATATCTAAAAGTAAAAGTCTGGAATGACTGGCTGCAGATGCTGGGTTTTGGGATATTTTATTTCTGTTATGTGTTTATTCATGGTTGTGACTTTGTTCTGTTCACTGAAGGAAAGTGGACATTTCTTTATAGGCAAAGATAAACAAATAAAGATAAATAAACATTTCAAGCTGAAGGGAGCTGTAGGTGTACATCCAATATGTCTGCAAAGGCTGAGGTGAAGATCAAGCCCATTCTCAATAGGCTTATATTTGTACAGGAATCCTCATTTCCACTGGTAATGTTGCAGGGGTCCGTAAGTGGAAAAAAAGATTGGCAATCTGCTCTACAAGATAGTATCATGGTTATGGCATCAGATAGTACTTCCTTTTAAGCACCATCCATGAGCAGAACTGGCAGGTACAGATGACGGGAAGGACTTCAGCAAATTATTTTAGAAAAAGGAGAGGTACAAACTTTCCAGAGGAGAAAGGAGAGCTGCTTGAGAGAGCTCAATGGGCCAGAACAGTCTTCATGTTTTCATAAGGTTCTGACACAGATTTCTGACTTTGAAACTTTGCTCATGTATTTACTTATTACCTTTTTTGTCCAGAAAAGTCTGTTGAGAGGATTCGTGTGCTCCAAAGGGGTACGAAAAGGAAACAAGTGCTTGAAATGCACAGACACATTATTGCAATTCTGACCTTTCTGACAGCTCCTGGTTTCCCGTCGGCATTGTGTCAGGGCCATGGCTATTGCGTTTCAGGCTGTGCATTGCCCGCAGCAGAGTGCAGCAATTTCCCTATAATCAGTTGTATTTTTTTCATTGCAGCACAATGGCACCTGAGCAGAGATTCTTAGGGGTTTTGCAAGCAGAGGATGAGACCCTAAACTGGGGCAAACTGGAATCAGCTAAATTCAGGTTAAATGGAACTAGGTTTATTTGCAACAGTTAAGGTTCAGTCCAAGATCCCTCCAACTGAATTATTCCTCCCTGCAAATGCAAGAATTAAGGGGTTGAATGTTGTTCCCCTTGAAGTCAACAATAAAACTCTCTTTGGCATTACTGTGAGTAGGATGCTATTAAAAATCTCTAACAGTGCTTCTAAGAGAAGGTCTGGGAGGAAAGGATAATCGTTGAGACAATTTTTCTCAATAGTTCTGACTTATTACCAGAACTATTGCATTGTTACAAAATATTTTCAGAAGTCTTCCAACGAAAAATAGCTGGAGATGTAAGCAAAACGTAAGAAATGTGATTAGAAGTTCAAACTAACAGTTTGCCACTTTCCATTTTGGAAACGGAAAAAGGTGTTGGAGTTTCAGAATAGCGTTTAAATTTGAATTCGCAGCACAGTACTTACTATCACTTACTATTCTGAACTGATTGTTCCCCATCTGTAGGTGACTGGACATCTGCAAATACGGGACTAAAAGAAAAAAAATAAACAGAAGCATAAAGCCTTAAGCTACAAAGCTGATGTAAAGTTGGGTCTTATAACTGTAAACACACAAAGAAAACTTCTAGTGCCAGTACCTGTATGTCGCTGCTGCTTTCCACATTAGTAGGAGCTCTTCAAAGCAAACCACCTATTCAGTAGCAAAATCAGAGTTTTCACAGTGATATTTGTTCTCCCTCAGACTTCACAAAATATTAAACCTGGGTAAGGGCTTTCAACAATGTTTGGCAGATAATTAAATTCCTTTGCATTACTTCACCAGCATGGATGCTTTTTTGGTACTTTTGCAGGGTTAATATTGCAGGAAAGGTGTTTTCTGTGAAGTAAGGAAATTTGAAGGACTTAGAAAATATAGCAGGCATAAGGTGAATATCAGTACCAGAAACATGACTTCAAAAATAGACTTACTCTTTTAAGAAGCTGAAAAGCTCAGTAGGTAACAGTCCACTGTAAATGACATGAAATCCAAGCCAAAGTGGCTTGGATTCAAATCCAAGCCAAAATCCAAAGCCACCTCCTAAAAAGCTTCATTATCTCAGGAGCCAGGACCACGTCCTCTCAGCAGCCTCCTAGGAACAGTTCAACAGGACAAGTTATCTATACAGCATCAGCCAGCATTTGCAAATGAACATTTGAAACAGTTCTGAATAATATTTGCCAGACTTTCTGAACTGAAAGCATGGGAGAAAATTCTAAATTGTATTCTAAGAATTATTCATTCCTATGGACCTCACCAGCAGAATGTCATCGTTCTCCCTCTAGACAGTAACACAAACCTTTGCCCTGGCTGATGCTCAGTAATTCTCTTGTCCTTTCATCCTGTCCCCGGGCAAGCACCCCGTCCCCTTTCCTTTCATGGTGCTGTTCAGGTCTTTGAAGTCCATCACCGCTGCTGTCCTCTGCTCCTAACGTGACCAAGCAGATTAGCCCCAGCAAGGACTCAAAAATTTGCAGTGGAAGAAGGCAGATCGCACCCAGCTGTGGAGAAACTCTGTAATCTCAGGAAAATGCTGGATTTCTCTCAGCAAGAGATGCAAAACTCCTCCACTTCCCAGCTACCAGAAATATTCATTTCCTTGCACTAGAAAATCATCCACCGCCTTCTACAAACTGATAAGAATTAGCACCCAACTAGCATCTCTCTGAGTGTTAACCAGTTCTTTAAAAGTCTCATCATTTTGGGTATCTTCTTGTCTCTAACGTTTTATTTTCTTCTGTGTTTTGGGGGTTTTAATATTTCAGGAGGGAATTCACAGTAAAGCTGATATTTTAAACAAGCAACAGTATTGCATCAATCGTCTCAGCAAATGTTTCTTTTGAGCAAGACAAAGAACAAACATTTTTTTCCTCAGGTCTTATCTGTAAAGCAGGAAAGCAAGAGAGTGTGTGATAATGAAGCATTTCTATTTTAGCTGTGCTTTTGTCACTTTTCCAAAATACCTACTCCTAGTATAAGGTATATGGCCAAGGACTGCCAAAGGCATTAAAGTTTTACTCTTGAAAGCTGGCATTACAAATCCATTTCACTGGGCAGCTTTCTCAAATTTTCAATTTAATCTATGACTCTAGGATTAAGGAGATCTGAATGATAGGGCCACAACAGGGGTCCAGTTCTGTTCTCAGAAAGGTGGCCCCGCTTCTATCAATGTTAGCCAAACCGTACGCCCAAATTTGTAATTCAAATATTCATGGATTTGCTCTAATGGTTGAAGTAGGAGAAATAGCCCTTAAAAAGAAAGGCAAGTGAACCTTTAAGGGTTTAGTGATTGGGTCAAGTTCAGTTACCTTAGGGGGTTAAAAAAAAAATTGAACAAAGACATAGGATACAAGCTCCAGGTTCTGGTTTGGAGCAGAAGTTATTTTTCTAACCACTTCACGCCTGGCCAGGTCTGAATGTGTTACAGATTGTGCACAAAGAGCATTAGGAGAGGACTTTCTCAGATTGGAAGCTTGGCTATCTTGTAAAGAAAAATGGGACAAAAAATGGGCCAAATCTGTTTTGCCAGCTCCTCAGGACAGCTCCCAGAAGTTTTCTGAGGCCAGTCCTGCACCTTCTCAGGTTTTTATCTGCTTGGAAAAGGCAATTAAATTGCTTATGAAGCAACTGCTGTAATGCTGCAGTTTGAAGTCCAGCATATCAGTGACCAGGCTATTTGCTCTAATGCACCAGGCTGTAAATTTGCAGTGGCGGTGGAGGGAGGAGGAGTCCGTACAGCCCTCCGAGGGTCAGCTGCCCCACTCCCCAGTCCAAGCGCTTTGATCCTGCAGCTCCAAAGGGCACAAATTCATTTCTCAGCAGTATCAGTCAAGGCGCAGTTTTGCCCCATGAAGTCAGTCACTGGATTTCCAGACAACAGACTCCCACTAGGGGGTCGACTGCTCTTAGCGCTGGTGTTTTACCTTGTGAAGGATGGAAAACACTAGCAGAGGGTTTGTTTTGGCCCCACAATAGAGGGCCAGTCCCACTCCGCCTTCACCAGCAGATTGTTGTTCCTACAATGGAAAACGGAAGGGGGGAAGAGATGAACTCAGAGCATGCAGTGCAGCAAAGCCAAAAAACACATTGCAGGCATTTCTGCTACAGTGGGATATGCAGGTTAAGCCAAGTCAGCACTCTGTAAGTCTGAAAACTCACACTCCGGCAAGCGCCAATCCTCCGCAAACCCTGACAGAGCAAAGGCATGCTACTCCGGGAAAGCAACCCGTAGAGGGGCAGCTCGAGGCTTTTAACAAGTTGCTCTGAATAGGATACAATATTATATCTTTCCAGGTGCATTCTCTTCCTACTGTCTAGGTCTCCTGGGAGGTTAAGGCTGGGAAACAAAGAGGAGGATAAAGAGCAACCATGGGAGCAAACGACGGGAGAGGTAGGAAGGCATCTCAGCTGCAAAGGAGAGTGCTCGCCAGCTCTGCGGAGAGCTGCTAGAGAGGGAGAGAGGTTATGCAAGAACAGCCATGAGCATGAACAGGTCGCCCTTTCTCGCCTCCATCAGCTCGGCCCAACAATTACACCATGCTGGGTGCTGGGAACAAGTCTCTGCAGATGATCCCTTTCTTCTTTGCTCCCCTTTCATCCTCTCCCCTGCACTAGTCTGAAATCAGGGTTCATCCTACCCTCTTTCAGCACCTTTCTCTTGGGCTGCGCTCACTCGCTTTGTCCTCTGCCGTTGTCCTCCATGCTCTCCCCTAAGCTCCATGCAATGACCTAGCGTCATCTGAGTTCAAGTGACAGCTTTCAAATTCACCTTTTTGGATTAGATGCAAACTCAAGCTTGGAAATTTTACACATCTTCCATGTATTCAACCTGTACAAAGAGCCAACAGAGATTTCTGTCCCTTCTGTACAAACATAAATAAATATTCCTGC